CTCTGCCCTGTCTTTCCAGCAACACAAGCAGATTGGCACAGGCCAATTTGTCTTCAGCAATGTTCACAATTTGCCTACACGGCTCAGGAACCTTTAGCAGCCTTCAGTAGAGCACTCTGACAGCCTAATCTAGGATTTCTATGCTGCTACCAACAAAAACTGGAGCACCATTTGTTGACACTAATGAATCAGAACATTCAGAATCATCTAGACATCAGATCCAAGAAACAGATGTTTTCCAACATCTTCCCTGGTATATGAATTAGTACTCACTACACGTGACGGAGATCATGGTCTGCATCACAACAAACACGATTACCTTAAATAGAGTATCAGACATTATAAAACAGTGTCAACACAGAACGTCTTCATCTGTCTGTACTATGAGAAGTAAATCTCCATGATAAACCAGATACAATACAGATTGCTAAGACTGGGGAAACAAGACAAGAATACAGCATTCTTCTACAAGAGTGAAAATCTGGGAGGAACAAGCCTGAAAGTCTATATGGTAGAAAAAAGTGAAAGACTGAACTTGTATAGCAGCATGTTCCAGATATATTTTGCATTTTCCCTTTAAACTCAGCTTGCATGAAAAGAAGCACAGGGACAGAAATACTTATACAGAGGTAAGCAAGGAACCAAACAAAAGAATTCCTCTTAGTTTATAAAAAATGTAACACCATAAAAGCATGAGTGCATGTACTGAACAAGATCAAAGACCCTGCTAGCCCAGCATCCCGCCTCTGACAGTGGCTAAAGCTCTTTTACAGAACTAAGAACACAACAGGCAAATGCATTAATCATTGAGAGGTTTCTATGCTCTCACCAATACTGACAAAATGGATGACAGAAGGTTATACCAGCCCGTAGGTATTAGCCCGAGGAAACAGTGTTTTATGGTTTTTCTAATTATGTCTTTTTTTTCTCTAATAAACTAATTGATTTTTAATTAAGATATCTGAAACTTGTTGAAGACTTGTGCATCAGGGAAGGGTGGTTCCCACAAGCTGCCTCTTGTTCTTAAGAAAACACAAAGCTAGGAATAAGAGGTGGTCTAGTTACTGCATTAAAGGAACTGCAGACGCAAAGAAGTGAAATAGCAGGAAGAGAGAAACTGTTATAGAAGGAGAAAACACTTGAAATTATTAAATCTCAAAAAACAATCCCCAATCCATTATGAGCTAAACTTGTATCCTGAAATTAATGGGTTTTGACATTCAAAGTCTACAGTGATTGCTTTTTCATGCATAGAATAAGATTTCATAGCATAGGTGGACACGAAAATGGAAAGTTATAAAAACATTTAAAGATTGCAAAAAATATTTTAAAGTCACAAAACACACTATGAAAAGAGAAGTAGTCACATGAATATATAGGCAGCTCATCAACTACATACAGAGACTTCATCACATAAACTGCAGTGCACAGATGAACCTCTGGACCTGTACGGATCACTTTGTAACTATTATACCATATAAATTAACATCAACTAACTCAAACAAAAGTTGACTGAACATTCTGTTGATATTTTACATATATCTAGGACACACTCATTGATGAAATGTGAAATTCCAACCCAGAAAAATGGCTTTACCTTACCAATGGCTGAGGTATTCCCTAAATATTGCAGAAGAAATTCTATTCCAATTAATGCTCTTGAGGTTTCCACACACTCATGCAAACTGTATTTTTTCTTTTTAGTATTGACAGGAAATTCTTCACCACTGCTGAAAACTTCTGGAATTACATACTGTTTTTCAATATACCAGTACAGAGAATTTACATGTATTCATTTAAATCAGCAGGACTCTGTTGCATATCCTCTGGATGAATATTGGAAAACACTGTCAATTGGATATTTCAGAGCTTTCTTATTTTCAGAATTTGTTATAAGATGTCATCATCTTTAGTATGTTATTCTGGAAACTTACTTAGAGGTAATGAGCAGGAAATTTGGCATTACTTTCAACAAAATTCTCCATAATTATTTCTAAATCACAGTACAAAAATATTTTTCCACTCCATGATTTATGCAGCTTGTGCTCTTGTACACTTTCTGATGACTCAGTATTTCAACAGGCCCTCATGACATTATTTTCAACTTTCTATGTGCAGCTGGAGCTGGTGGGCCACATATTCCGGGACTATCTACAGCATCATATGAAGAATTATTAAGTCAAATCATGTGTGATATCAGCATATACAAAATAAGAATTTTAATGTCTATGCCATGTACTATACTTCAGGACCGAAGCAGATTTAGTTTTCAGTAACTGAATATGAGCTGTGATTCCTCTTTTTTGTCTTGTTCCAATAACAACTACTTATTTGATTTTAACTACAAATAACTTTTCCTTATTTTCAGTCTTTTAGCTTCTCATTAAGTGCCAGTCTCTGTTTCTCACTGGACCATAATTTTAAGAAGACCCTGTACTTCTTACAAAGTTTGTATAGCACCTCACACAACACCATTCTACTGTTTATTAAGAATTTCTGGGTATTCTGGAACTTGCTTTGCTGGGTCACCAAGTCTAAACATGGTCTAAGAAGAATAGATATTTTCGACTTTCAGAGCTCTTAAAATTTGTGAGTGAGAGGTCTTGCTGGAATACAGGTCCCTGTGAAGAGACAAGACCACCTCAGGAGACCAGAAGATTGTCCAAAGAACATGTCAAGGGCAATGATTTGTAATTAAACACTGAAGAGCAGGATGCTATGTGAGTACAAAAACAGTGGGAAAAAGAAGAAAAAAAAACCAAACACAACATTTAGCAGGATAAGCCTTGCTCTGGTATGTCAACTGTTTGCATATAGGATAAAGTGCTTAGACTTAATTGGAATGAAGTAAAGACTAAAATTGAATGGTATGTCTCATAAAGTGTGAAGGGTAAACAATATGCCAACAGTAGGAACTACTTAACTGAAGGGGAATTTCAGATATATTTCTGGAGGGAAAAAATCTCACCTAAAAAATCCATCCAGAGACATATTGTACTACACCCTGATAACAAGTAATGTGATGTGGTAGAGAGACAAGTGATAGAGTTGTAATTCAGTGGTAGTTGTGTGTAATGAGTAAGACCTAAGAGTGATAAACTTGGATTTTGTTACAGTGTGGGGAATTACAGGATTGCACATTAATAATAGTGACATCATTATTTGCTAGGCCATTTAACTGATTCATTAGATTATTAATAAATAGTTGATTTAACAACAAACATTGTAGCCTCTCATTTCAAGCCTGCAGTTGAGAGAAATTAGGACCTTCAGTTTGCTTGATCTCTCACCTTTGCATCCTGTGAAAGACATTTTGGAATTACATGTACTAGTCTGCAAAGTCCATACCTTTGGGATGAGTTTCACCACTGATTTCACAAACTTGCCTAAGGAAAAATGGCAACATTTTGTTTTAGCTTAAGTTGGTGAAAATCATTAAATAGGTCAATATTATTTGAAGAATAGTTTGCTTTATGTGAGTTAAAGCTGTGGTTTACATGGTCTAAACGACCAACTTTCAGCAGAAAAATATGATAAAAGTTTAAAACCAAACCTTAACTAAATCAGTTTCTATTCACATGCTCAGGCAAGCCTATCAGATTTTCTCATGCATGTGTGGTAGTAGCACCCACCTTCCCCCGCAGCTGACATGTGGAGATGACCAGCCTTTTGTGCCCTCCTTTTTGCAGACCCCTCCGCGATGGGAATGAGAACAGAATGTCTTGGTCAACAGAGTCCTCAGCCAGTGGGGGCCTTGGACCAGAAATGTTTCTAGCCCGTGACCAGGTATGACCTGGGGCTCCGACATAAGCAGGTTATCTGGGGGGGGAGCCCTGCTGGAAATCACCTGGATATGATTTTCCTTGGAACAGTGGGTCTGTGAGGAGAAGCCCTCCCCTTAGGGCTGGGATGCCAGCCCAAGAAGACTTACAAGGGCTGAGTGCCTTACCCCTTTCTTCTGGCTGAGTGACTATTTTCCCCCTAGATAAACTTGAGTGAGCCTTCAAACTCTGGATCTTTTGGGTAGCTTTTGAGTAAGAGGCTTCATGTGCATGAGAGTGTGTGTGTGTGTGTGTGTGTGCACACTTTGTGTAGTAAAATAATCCTGATGAGTACACTGAAACTGTAACCTGTTACATGCCATGGGAACACCATCATTACCCCCCTTGCTCACTAGTTTTGGCCATTGCACCTAGTTGCAAATTAAAGCTAGACTTTGTTATCTGAGTGAAGTTGTTGTCTTATACCTCCATGACAGCATGCTAACAGTTGGCCAAGTCCTTAGCTCTCATGGACTGCTGCAATTTCGGGTGGATTTGTGTTGGACACAGCACAATTCTCTCCTTCCCTCTTTTAGAACCTTTTCTGCATTAGTCTCACAGCACCTGCAGGGACTTTAACAGGGGCTCATGCCCACACAGTCACAAAGTCACATTCTCAATATATTACTTCTACAGTGAGGGGTGTTTAAGATTTTGATTTTTTTTTTTTTTAAGACCTTTCCTGGTGCTCCATGGGATTTTTCCCAAGGCTGCCCAACCTTGGCAGCTCTCCCTCAGGTGGAAGACCTTTGGGCCACATCCCCTGGTACTGCTTGTCCCTTTCCAAGGCTAGATTTTGTTGTTGTTGTCGTTGTTGCTGTTTTCGGTGAGACAGGCTTGAGCCTTCTGGCTTTCTGCTCCTGCACCAGTGCAGGCCTTGGTGCTGCACTTGTCCTGGCACAGATTCAGTCCCTGCCCTTGGGCCAGGCTCGAGTGTGAGGCTTTGCACACCCTGAGGGTCACCTGGAGCGCCTGGACAGCTCCAGTCACTCATGGTTTGGCCCAGGAATCACAGAACCACAGAACATCCTCAGCTGGGACCCCCGTGGATCATGAAGTCCAAACCTTAGCCCTGCACAGGATCATCCCCAAGAGTCACACCGTGTGCCTGAGAGGATCATCCAAACTCTCCTTGAACTCGGTCAGCCTTGGTGCTCTGTACAATTAGCCAGGTGGGGGTCGGTCTCTTCTCCCAGGCAACGAGTGACAGGACGAGAGGAAAAGGTCTTAAGCCATGACAGGGGATGTTTAGGTTGGACATTAGGAGGAGATTCTCACAGAAAGGGTGATTAGGCATTGGAATGGGCTGCCCAGGGAAGTGGTGGAGTTGCCGTCTCTGGAGATGTTTACGGAAAGGCTGGACGTGGCACTCAGAGCTATGGTCTAGCTGACATGGTAGCGTTCGGTCACAGGTTGGACTCCACGGTCTCAGAGGTCTTTTCCCACCTAACGGCTCCTGCGATCCCGTGCCTTCCCTCTCGGCGCCTCCCGGGGGCGGATCTGCCGCAGCCCGTCCCGCAGGCGGCGGGCGGTGTCCATGGAAACCGAGCGCACGCCGAGCGCCGCCTCCTTCCCTCCTTCCCTGCTTCCCGACGGGCCGCCGCCGCCACCGCCATCATGATGCTGCTGGGCCGCGGGCTGGACGCCAGGTACGGGGCTGGAGGCCCGGGGGAGCCCCGGGGTGCTGCGGGGGAGGCGGCCCGGCCGCGGGCAGGGCGCCGGGGCCCGGCGCGGCGCGGCGGGCGGAGGCCGATGCGGGCCCAAGTCCCCCTTAGCGCATCTGCCCGCCCCGTGCGGTGCGGCCGCCTCTGCCTCCCTTCGGGAAAGGCCGCAAAACTTTTCTAGGCTTAGTATGCTTGGCAGAGATGAAGTAAAGATGTGCCGATATTTATTTGGGCCTCTCGCGGATAATTTTGTGGCCAACTCTAAGCGATCATGCATAGTGACGGGGGAATAAAAATTTTCACACCCCTATAAGGAAATGCAGTGTTTTGTGTCTCCAAATTAAATACGAGTTGCATGGGAGTATTGTGAGATCTGAATTGTAAAGGGGGTGAAGAAATGTGCTTAAGGCTTCCCCCTGGGAGGGGAACTTTCTGACATAAAGACCTTCCAAGAAAATAGGATGTACCTTTAACTGAAGATCTTAACACATAGTATTAATTTTGAAAACCAACTTCGTTAGTACTTAATGAAATTCTTACTTTTCCACTCACTGGATGAAAACTTCCCTATTCAAATGGTTCTGTGCTCCGGCATGTTCTGGAGGACTGAACAACTTACTAGGATTTTTTTTTTCCTTTAATGAAATCTCTTTTTAACAGTCCTCTAGAGTGCTTGCCATGAAGCAATGCAACTGGGTTTTTGCCCATAGCATAACTTTGGCCTGAAATACTTTTCCTGAAATAAAAGTGTTCTTTGCTTGAATTGACTGCATTACTGTTCATTCTCAAAATACTAAATTTCTTCCAATTTTTCTGATCTTCCCGTGTCCTGATAGGAAGTCAATATTTAAATATTGGTCAGCAATATTGAGGTAGCTTAAGGGAGTTTTTGTTTCTGCCCCTTGCCAAGACAGTGGTATGAGTGAATTCTCTTGCTAAGAATTCAAGCACTTCACATGAATAGTCTCATCTTAGACTATGGAGACTTCTTAGGTCCCAGTATGTGGAAAAATAACTTTTAGCTAAATTGCCTTGTAGCTGATTCAATCTGTCAAAAACTGTCATGAATTCACACAACCATCAAATGATGTAGGAAAATGAAAGCAAAATACAAAGTGAAATACATGAATTATTTGAATGACTTATCTAGATCATTAATAATGAAACATACAGGCATTTGGATCAGATTAATTAGATTTATGTAATTTAAAAGAAAATAATTTATTAGTGTAATGAACGTTCTTTCAGTGGTACAGACTGTTCACCTCTGTATTTGTGTCCCTTCACTTTTCTTCTTTAATTCTCAGCAATATTTATCCTTTGTGGTGCTGACCAGGAGCAGATTGGTACCTGTTAATGATTTAAAAACCATTTAATACCTTTACAGTTTGTCCTCTGCTGCCTAATTTCTCCAGTCATTGACTTGCCAGTTTAGATTGCAGACTTGTGCAGGAAGCAGTGGTCTTGGGAAGGTCTTGACTGAGACTTCAAGTGTTACCACTCTGTCAGTAATTAATACCAATAGTAATAGTGAGCTTTTGCTTAAATACAGTAAGAAAACCTCCAAGCAGATTTTTGTGATTTGCGGTTTCCTCTCTTGGATCTCTAAGTGTAAATTCTGCTTTTTTTTGTTGTTTGTTTGTTTGTTACCCGTTCATAAATAAGCACATAGTACATCAGACTGTTACAATATTCTCTTTTTAAAAATAAATGTCTGTTTTGCACTGATTTGTGCCCTTCTTATTTTTCACTTATTTTTCTTTGGTCTCCAGGGACAATCAGACTAGGCAAATACAAGATGCTGTTTCAAATGTGGAAAAACATTTTGGTGAATTATGCCAAATATTTGCTGGATATGTACGTAAAACTGCCAGACTACGAGACAAAGCAGATCTTCTAGTAAATGAAATATATGCATATGCAGCCACAGAGACACCAAACTTAAAAGTTGGACTGAAAAACTTTGCAGATGAATTTTCCAGACTTCAGGATTATCGCCAGGCAGAGGTACAAAATTAAAGCTGTACATGTTGTGTTTGCCATCTGAACTTTTCAGTTACTTCTCTGTGATTAAAAAGGGAAATATATACTCTGCAATGACAAGAAAAACATAGGAGAAAACGCTTCTAAATATGTTAACATCTGATCAGAGTAGGCTGCTAAAGTACTCATCATTTACTTCCCTAACAACTAATGAAAACTAATGAATGCAATTAGTCCTGTTGAAGTCAGCAAAACTATCCCTATGAACACTTAAAGTATTTGAGACAGAGCAAGTTTTTTAATGGTCCTAGAGTTTGGATTGCGATTTATGGTTAATAAAGTGTTCTTGTGTGACTTGAGTTGTCTGGCAGCAGCTGAGGTAAAATCAGTCATTTTCCTTTTGTTGAGTCTTACCAGAAATAGTATGGAAGAGAATGCTAACTGGAATCCTTCACTGGGCACTGATATCCCCACTGATAGCCCCACTGAGATGCTGTCAGGGACCACTGTAGATTTCTTAAAGTTTGTAGTTTAACATTCAAAGTACAAACTTGGTTTGGACAATGTGTGACTGTGTAGTCACGTCTGCTAGATGAGTGAGAGTGTTTGTAAAGGAAGGTGTTTGTGCCACTTACACATCTATCTGCAGGGCCAGTCAAACTGTAAGGTATGCTGCAGGATTCCAAATACTGCAACTTAGGACAAAATAAATTCATTCACATGGACTCAAACTAGTTTTTGGAGAATGTATCTATACTTTCAGTAGAGTGTAGAAAATTCCCATTTATAGTTTTGAACAGCTAAGACCCACTGTAATTCAAAAAAGAGACTGAAGTAACATGCACTTTGTTTGGAGCCTTACTGCCCTAATCCTTTCTATTTTATTGGCAGTTCAAGTGAAATTGATTGACAGTGCACTGGTAGAGTACATAAAGGAAATACGTTTGCTCAGTTGGCATAAATTTTAGCCCAGTTTAGAGGGAACTTTACATTCCTAATAGAGGTATGCACCTTGTCCTAATCTGGCCCATCTGGCCCATAAGTCACTGGCAGCTTATGCTGGGGCTGTTTGGACAGTGTTGTCGGGTTTGATGAGCAGGTCTTATCCTATTGCCTGTCTGACCATATGTAGCTGTTTTTCTAAGTAGGAGACCTGAAACAAAAATTTAGATGCACTCATCTGTGAGAACATTTCTGCCTTTTACACACCCTGTTATTAATATTTTTACTGCATTCAGTACCAATGATGTTGTTTCCGTTATTTTTAAGAAGTGTTGCATTTTGTACAATATATTTGATAGCAAATCCATAATCTATCTGTAAGTGTAGAGCAAATACATTGATCTTTAGATAGAAAGTTACAGATCTCCAAGATGCAGAGTTTGATGTATTTAGTACTCAGTTGTTAGAATCTCAGTGTTTCGTTTATCCTGATGGGTTTTCAATTAAGGAAAAGGTAATTCCACTAGAAATCAGCTTGATCTCCTCAAAATACAAATTGCTTATTGGCTAATATACTTGACTGTAGTTTTTACAATATTTTTAAAACTATCTCACTATTTTTTCAGCATGTATGGACTAATTTCTAATAAGATAAGTCACTATTGTTTCCTGTTTCTGCACATCATAAATATGGATGATTCTAGTGGCCTTGTGATCTCTTTTGTAGGTCGACAGGCTTGAAGCCAAGGTTGTTGAACCTCTGAAATGTTACGGGACCATAGTGAAACTTAAAAGGGTAGGTTAAACATCTGTTTTCTCACAAGGCACATTTCAGTGTTCTGGCCTCTCAGTTGAAAACTTCTGCTTTAGGGGGGGGAGTGGCGCTGATATTTCATATTGCAATAATCAGTCTAATTATGTAGTAATACATCTAAATTGAAGCTATATATATGTTGGAGGAAAAAGCTTTGGTGTGAAGACAAGGATATTCAGGCTCTTTGAGCACAAACAAATTCTCAAAATAGGCATTGTGGATAGTCTAAAACTTCTTGGATAGTGTAAATAATGTAATTTATTATTGTTGGGGGGTTTTTATTATTATGATTATTATTATTATTTCTATTATTCAGATTTCCAAAAGGTGAATTATATGTAATACTTTTGCCTCTTAGTCATCAATATGCTGCCTTTAGCAGCTTTTCTGACTCAGAATTCCATTCTACATTAAAGTTCATGATTTATAAGACACATTTGAAGCAGATATATAGATAGTGGCCTAAATCCCTCTCTGTCCTGTTAAGTCATCATGATGACCTGAAGATACACAAAAATCTGAGGTCTCTTCATTCACTATATTTTAGAAACAGTGTTTATAGGGGTTTGAAATGTTCCCTTAAAATATCTGTAAGTTTCTTTTCTCCAGGAGGGATAAGCTTGAGCAAGTAACATTCAGTAAGCAGATACTAGTTTGTAGGACAAAAGTAGATCTTCATAATACTTGTATATTACACAGAGAATACCTTAATCCTGTAAACTCAAATCTGTAATTGATGTATATCTGTACCATAGTCTATGTAAATCAAAGTATTAAATTATTATTCTTTGATGATATTTTACCTACCAAAATCTCACAGTGTGTTCATCATGGTTAATTTGAGTATGTTGTGGCATTGCATCTCAAACTAGCATTTTTCATATGTTCCTGTTCTGTATCTTTTCCATATGGTGAAGAACCGAGTACAGTATTTGGAACTTACTCCACAGCTACTTCACTTGGAGGTTGGAGAAACAATTGTGAAGGAAATGCATCCTGCACTTGAGTGGGGTTACATGTGGTGGTCCTTAGCAGATTTGTAGAGTATAGAGCCTAGAATCTGGTATTCTAATAGTCATTATAAAACCCAGTTCGTGAGATCTAGAACTGAGTGTTCCATGGGATATAAATGTTGAGGGTGGAAGACAAGCTTCATGTGTTTGTGGCAGTATGGTTGCTGAGGAGACACGGTGCACTACAGCAGTGCCTGGGGTTTGCAGAGCATTGAAGGAACGGTCTCTTGAGGTGCATTGCCACTGATAGCCAGTAATGCTGAGGACAGAAGCAACTGAAGCCAAGTCATCCTTTGCAACAGTGAATGGCATTTCCTGTTGTTTTTGCCTTTCAGAATGCCAGAAAGCATTGCATAATGTTTATTTCAGCTACAGTGAAGAGTACAAGAGCATTCTTAAACTGTAGGTGGGATTAACTATTTTATCAACACACCTTTGAACTAAGGTTTTGCTAAAGATATAGGCCATTAAATGGTTATTTTTTTCCCCACTGCACGTTAACCATAAACTGTGGTTAAAATTTCAACTGTCTGGTCTTCAGTTATCATCTCTAAACACTGGGACATCTTTAGTGAAAAAGAAAGTTTTGTGACTCATAAATTTAGCACAAGTTGTAGGACTGCTTTACCTGTAAATACCTTAGCTAAGTAAAACCTGTTAGAACATGTCATTATAGCACTTTGAATAAAGGGGATGTTCTCACTGCTGGTCACTTACTGGAACTGTTCCAGGATGTACACAAGAGTATTTCTGTGCTTTGTCTAAAAAGGACTTTTGCTATTTCTGTGGCATAAGACATCATCATCCTGTGCTACTAAATGCTCTAAAGAGGCCCAGATAATCAGAGTAGTGTTGTCCTTTAACTGCTAATGCAATAAAATTGTTTCATTCACTTGTTCCGGTTTATGATGCCAAATAGCTCTTCAATGGATGTTAATATAATGTTCTTGTTCTGTAATGCAGCTTAAATGTAGGATTTTAGGATTTCTTTCTGTTTCATTTTTCTCTATATCAATCTTCACTTTTCTACTTTTTGGCAACTCTGTTCCTGGCTCCTTTTCTTCATATAAAACAGGACCTCATAAAACCAAGGTGATCCACGTGCAGAAGAAAGGATTGGTTTGCTTTAATAACTTCAGTGACTGAAGCAGGTAACAGTACAGTGATGAGGCTCTGCCGGCTCATTGTCTGGTGGACAGACTGTAGCTGTACTTCTCTATGGCTTGAAATTAGATGGGTGACCAGAGTTCTTACATGTGACTTGAATTCATAGTTAAAAGCCAGAGGGACTATGAATAATTTTCTGTTCTCTCTACCTGCTCTTTTACTCATTGCCTATTCCATTCCATTTCTCCTTGAGTGCAATTAAAGCATATTTTCCAAAAATATGTCAAAGCTTGGTCTGAGGACACTGAAGGGGCATGTAGGACTGTTTGTGGTAGTAAGTGGTGAGTTTGTGGTGTATTGTTTTAAATGAAAGACTTCTAATCTCTGATTCTTGTTATATGTTCCACTGAGATGAAAGAGCTCTGTAATGCTCTGAAGTTTTTTCTGAATGAAGGTATTTAGATGCTAGTAAAACCAATCTTTCATGTTTTTTTCTGTTAGCTAATAATGTACACCTTGATTCCTTCTCCATAATCACATTTTCCCCAGCTTTTTAGTATTTTTACAGGGTTTTTTTCTGCACCCTTTTCAGTTTTTCAACATATTAGACAAAATGTGCATATAACTGTGCCCTACTTTTATACGTCCAAAACTTGTGTATAGCTTCACCAGTGTGGCCACAGTAGTGCTAACTCTTTATCAGGTATTGGCTAGTAGAGAAGTACATTTCATGGTGGCTGAGGCTACAGAAAACAGAGGTAGAGGAGGGAACTCTATTATTAGTATTTCCAAAGTCACTACGTGCTAGGAAGAAAATACTGAATTTTATAACAACTCTAGAACTTTGCATCCTGAAGTACATGAAAGTCAGAACCCTTTCAGCCTCAGCTTTAAATGTGATTGACTGTTTTAGATGGGCCTAGAATTCAGTGCTGTTAACAGGCTTTAGTCATTAAATAACACTAAACATGAAGCTGTGACCATTAGATACAAATCTGTTTTGTTCTGTTAAAAAAAATAAATAATTTTTCTCTTTCTCTACCTTTAAAGTTTAAAACTCAAAACAATAAAACAATAAAAAAAATTCTATTATTGCTTTTCTTGCAGCTTCATGGTTTTGATAAAGGGAAAGCCCTTTCCAGCAATGTTTTGGATGACCTTAAAGGTGGTGTAAATTCCCTTCTGAAAGAACAGCACTAAAATTAGTTTTGATGGGGTAAAGATACAAGAGTTTTTATTATCAGAAACCAGCTTTGTCCCCCCCAAAGGGGAAACAAAATGAGTCATACACAAGGACATACAGACAGACAGTAAAGACAGAAACAAAGAAGAAACTGTGTTTTTTGACCCTGACCTCATGTACAGACTCATTATTGAAGGAACACAGCACTGTGAAACTTGGCACGCTTGTGCGTGTCACTGACAAGTGATCTGGTCACAGGGTCACAAAACTTGCTGAAAGTCACATCCTTGGTTGCATATTCCTCTGGGTAAAGGAGACATACAAGCATATTAAAATTCTGAAATCCAAGGAAGGAACGTAGACTACTTCCTAATATGATAGTTTCTAATAGCCCTAATTCCCTCCATTCTGAAGTAGTAGATAAATGGGAACTGGTATTTTTAGAAAAAAAAAATTGTTTGAAATGCATACTCAACTTCTGGCTCAGATTTTTTTAAGACTTTTGGCTGTATTTCTGCTTGTTCTAAACTACTGCTCCTTTAAATTGAAGCCATAAAAGTGTATGTCATTTCTGATACCAGGATCAGGGAAGTGATAAATATCTGACTGATAATCTTCGATCCCACGAATGCTAAACACTCTGCAAAACACAGTTTTATAGCATGAACAAAAATTTGAGGCTGGTAGGTAAACATGCTTAAATGGTCAGAGGTCTTTGTAGAAGTACATCCTTTGGAAATGAGGAACAAAAATATTTATCAGCAGTTTCTGTCTTTTCTAAATCACTAAGTTTCATATTCTCCAGCTACATCATTACTAGGCTGTGTCTTGTTTCCAGTGGTTTTGAATACCTTACTAACTGCATATATAAAAATATGCAGTTCAACCCTTTCAGCCATAGATTTTATATGGTACCTTGAAATCTGTGTAGCATAGAATTATAGAGTTGTTAAGGTTGAAAAGACCTCTAAGATCATCCAACTGTTAGCCCAGCACCACCATGTTCACCACTGAACCATGTCCACATCTTCTTGAACACTTCCAGGAATGGTGATTGTACCATTTCCCTGGGTATAGCCTATTCCAATGACTGACCACCCCTTCAGTTAAAAAAATTTTCCGAATATTTAGTCTAAACCTCTCCTGGTGCAGCTTAAGACTGTGTCCTCTTATCCTGTCACTTGTTGCCTGGGAGAAGATATCAAGCCCCACCTGGCTACAACCTCCTTTCAGGGAGTTGTAGAGAGTGATAAGGTCCCCCATGAGCCTCCTTTTTTCCAACCTGAACATCCCCTGCTCCCTCAGCCTCTATTCATCAAACTTGTGCTCCAGACCCTTTACCAGCTCTGCTGTCCTCTGGACCAGTGGCAGCAGTTATGTTTTCTTCGTAACTTCTGACTGGTACTGGCTGCTTCCTGCTTTGTTATTTTTCTTACCGATATATTTGATGCCACTTTTTATTTCTGAATGCCACCTATGTTTCTAAGCCAGGAATGGGCCTACCTTCTTACTGCTTTGGTGATCTCAGCTTTTGACCATCTGCTATACTTGTCATGAAAAGCTGTGAATATATTTTTCTTCTGCACATTTTAAATTATAGTGTGTGCTATAGAGAGCTTGCAAGGTGCTAAACTCCCTTGGTCCCCACTGACTTCTCTTTCAGAGGATCAATTAACAAGATAAGATTTGTAAAATCTGGTTTTGTTTAAAGCAGAAGTTTTGTCCGTTTTCTAGGCAATGCATGTATGAAGGGAAGTATATTTTGTATTATCCTAGTTTTATTTCAAACATGTCTAAAACATTTTTATTTCCAGGATGATCTTAAAGCAACTTTAACAGCAAAGAACCGAGAAGCCAAACAATTATCTCAACTGGAAAAGACACGTCAGCGGAATCCATCAGATCTACACATTATTGTATCCTGTTTTTCTAGTCACTATGACAAATATTTTTAAAATTTCTAGGGAATTAAACTATTGTGTTTAGAAAGTAGTAAGAAAGTTGTAGCAATAAGTCTCTTTAGAGGGATTATCTCCAATGTCGAATCTCTTTTTAAATTTTATGATGAGTTACAGCTTACAATAGCTGCTTTGTTACTTCTTTTTGAATTGAACAGAAACTATTAATTATTTGATATATTTATGCAGGAGAGGTAGGCATAGTTTACTAGGAATTTGGAAGTTTTTGAAAATAAGTGTAATCAGACAACTTCTTTTTTATTTCTATGGATTTCTTGTTTTATTGTTTTTCTTCCTGTCATTTTGGTAGTTGCTGTGCTTCCTTGTACCTAGATGGGGTATGAGTTTCCTCCAACTGCACAATGAAGTGTGAAAGGAAAAGTTGTTATTCTGTTAGTAGAATACTCGACTACTTTTCCTTTCCAAAGACCACTCACTTTCCACAGTATACAGAATTTCCATTAAAATCTCATTGAAGTTTCAAATTCTGAAGCAATCAGAATATAGAAAAGGCCAAAATAAAGGGGATCAAGGCAATCCTACTTCAGTCTCTTTATGCCTACATAGTATGTTAAAGCATTTTAAGTTCATGATGATGTGCTGTTTACTTTTTATGACACTCTGGTGCTGGACTCAGGAGCTAAGCAGTCCTATTCTTAGTTGGATTTTATCAACTTTATTTCAGAAATTAGGATCTTTCTAGTGACTGGAGCATGGGAGTGTAGAAAGTGAAAATGATTGTGATGGTCAAATGCCACACAGGAGAATTACATTTTATTTTTGTCTCTGCGAAAGAATTCACATCTAATATTAATCAGATCAGTTAGATCAAGTGATGACTAATTTGAATGCCTTCTATAATAAAGACAGATGCATGTCAGCTATAGAGTTAGAACTTGAGCTGTGATGCAAAGTTCTCTTCTGTTGGAATTAAGGGAGTAAACTGGAACAGTAAGCTTTCTCCCCAAAGGGACACTGGTCCCATTTTCCTCTCTCTTGAGCAGTAGTTTTTTCATGGGAGTGTCGCTGGCATCTAGTTAATTTCTTTTTGTCTCTTTTGTCTCACAAACACACTTCTGTGGCTTAATTTCTTGTAACACCTGTGTTTTCTGTGGTTAAGGCTTTGCCTGAAGAGTTATAAAATCTCAGTAGTCTGTTTTTGCATATGGCCAAAGGCACCAAACACTGCATATTTGCATTTTAAAGTGATTGACACAAAATGTATGAAAAGGTATTAGGAGCAGGAATATGTTCTTTTGCTTTTGAAGATGTGTGCAGGTCAGCTTTCAGGTCTCCGAGAGGCTTCACCACGCTGGAGCACAGTAGTTGGGCTCCTGCAACTCTTCTCTTATGGTCAAGCAACTGTGATGTTGCAGCAGCGAACAACTTTGACCCCAGATAGCAAAGGATCTGTACTCACTCTCATCTTACAGAATGGGGGCAGGGTGGGGGGTAGTACAGCTTTAAAAAGAAAACATTACCAGATTTTTAAAAATATAAAAATACATTTTTTTATATCCAAATTTTTTCCCCTGAAATAGTCTACCTAAGTTGTCTAATTTTTTGTTTTGTGGGTTTTTTTTAATAAATAACCAAATCCTCAGTCCAAATCGAACAGCTGTCCTGAAATGTTTTGGTCTGGATACTTAAATTCTAGCAAAGCTGTAACAAACTGTAATGTCTTTGAGCCAGAAGCTTCAGGTAACATAACAGTAGCACTAAGTATACAGAAGTTTTGAAATAACTAAGTTAAATAGTTCTCAGCATATTAAAAGTAGAAGTGAAAAGACATATTTTAATGAATATTGGTTGTTACATTGCCCTTTTTTCCTTCACTAGTATTTCCAGTCACAGGTGAGTGTTTAGAAGAGAAAATATCAAACTGCTGTTGTGCAAACTATGGAGGCTCTGTGACTTTAGACATTTCACTCTACAACAGAGAGAATTCTTTCCCAAAGCATCTGTGCACAAAATCTGGCCAGTCTATTTAGGATGTGTTGAGATGTATTCGGAAATATCACGGAAATAACATACTGTATTTGTATGTGTAATGGCTGCTTATGCAACTTATGCTGCCTTCACTTACAGGGAGTAACTGATTGAACTAATAGAGAATACACAAAATGTCTTTTTTTACTCGGTTTCCCTCTTGTGTTTTGGGCAAAATCAAGAAAGAGAGGTGAACAGGTGACCTTATGTACTGCTAAACATTGTTACCAATTTTTTTTGCCCAGTAATGGCAGAACTGTGTCTGTGACTTAAAGCTGTTTTTGAAAGATTGTTTCAATTTGATGATCCTGTAATACAAGGTTATGAGATTGTAATCAAAGAAGCAAACAGAGCATACCTTATGCCTTAGGTTTCCATATGCGTCACACTAAAAGCTAGATCACAGGAACTGGACCTGTGGTGTCTATTTAAAAAAAAAATCCTCTCTTAAATTGCAGTCTTTTAAAAATGGGAAGAATCCTACAAGATGATCATAGAATACAATACTTGATCCATATACTATTTTCAAATCTCAGCACAAAATGGATTTGTGATGATACTTACTGAGCCTACAGAAATTTAGACCCAAATTTTGTTGTCTTCAAGTGCAAGCTCTTACATCTGTACATCATTATTTTGTAGAAATATACAGTTCTCAGATTTGACATAACCAGAATAGTTTCAAGATCTTTATTTAAATGGTAGTGTGCATTTTTATAAAGTTCATAATTATATGTAATCAAAATAACTATCTACATGCTTTTTGTAGTAACAAAATAAGAAAAACTGTGTATTTATGTGTTAGGGATTGGTTGATGTGTCCCCATCCCAGTGCCCTGTTGAAGACGTTTTCTATAGAATATTTTAATAGTACAAAAATACTAAAAATATGAAATACCTGAAATGCTTTTGGATCTAGAAATTATAACAACTCTAGCCTGCATATTGAGATATTGACAGGAATAGTGTATGAGTTTTGGCTGCTGCTCTAATTGTCTTTTTAAATAATATATTAAAACTTAATAAGAGGAGGTTCAGGACAGGATACTGGAAGAGATTCCTTAAGGACCAGCAGGTTGATCTGCACTTGAAAACAAGGGTGATCTTTTCTGCTCATCCAGTGCACTGGCATGTTCAGTCCTGCCTTCTCCTTTGAGGAAGCTTAAAAAAAAAAAAAAAAAAAACACCAAGAACTTTTCCAAAGGGTAAACCCTTGTGCTGGGTTAATACCCGGACCCAGTCCCTGTGTTGTCAATGGGGTGTCAGGGCTGGCTCAGTGAAACTATCAGATAATTATTATGGAAAATGGATCAGGGCAGAGGGACTTTCCTGACTGGCTGCAGCTGGTCATTTTCCATGTTTCACATCAAAGTCACAAGAGTGTAGGAGACAGCTTTATATGTTTATTAAGCTACAGATTTACAAATACTGTAACACAGATATGTGGTGTTTTGAAAAACCAGACTTCAATGTTTTCATGGCAATTGGAGCAAATAGCTTTGTACCAAATACAAGACTAATTTCACCTTGGTGTCACTTTACCAGGCTGAAAGTGAACTGCAGAGAGCAACACTGGATGCTACTCGAACAACTCGGCAATTAGAGGAAACTATTGATAATTTTGAGAAACAGAAGATAAAGGACATCAAAGTATGTGTGCTCACATTTCAGTATGTGACATCAATTTTATCTTGCATAGTAAAATTACTATAGTTAAGTCTTGGGCAAGATTAGCAACATTTAATATTCACTTAAATGCAAACCTTGTGGTATTCATGAATATTTCAGAATCATAGAATTGTTAGGGTTGGAAGGGACCTCTGGAGATCATCTAGTCCAACCCCCTTGCTAAGACAGGGTCACCTAGGGCAGGTTACACAGGAACGTCTATAATCCAAATACGAGGAGATCTGAAATTAAAAAATCAGTTTATTATTCTTACAGTTTGTTGAATTCAAAATTTTTCTGTATCCAGTTGTTTAGTGTCTGCACCTTTCAAGAGCTGCTGTATTCTACTTCACTAATAGCTGCATTTTTTAGTGGAATGATATGTGGATTAATATCAGCAGAATTAACAGAAATAGTGATAAGTCAATAATATATTTATCCATGCTGAAGTATGTGTACATTAGTGCAGGTAAAAGTTTTACTGATGCAAAAAGCAGAGAATGTTCAGTGACTGCAAGCAGTGAATGCTTTAATTTCTCTCTTAATGTCAAACATTAAGTGTCATAAGTCCCAAAGACTACAGTGACTGAAAAACATATGCATTATGTGATCTCATTTAATTATAAAATTGCTTTAGTGATTTTTTTTTAGGGAGAAAGGGGAGGAGACAGACAGACTAAACAGGAAAGAATAAACATGGTTGAAAAACCCAACCAAACCGATCAGAACTTGATAGTGAAGTATTATGAAAAAGATTGTGATTTTTGAAGATGTCATAATTGTGGGAGGTTTTCAATATATAAAGAATACTTAATTATGTAAAATATATAATTATTTGTAAATTATAGATATGTATAGAATTTACAGATAACTTACCCCCAACCTGTTATAAAAGATTGTCTTCAATAAAGCAAAAATCCACCAACTACATCTTGTAAATACATACTGGGGTATATCAAGTGGCTTTTCACCATGATATTATTCCTAATGAGTCTCCACTTTTCAAGCTTTTACTTAGAATTTATAATGAAATAATAACAACTGCATAAGTCATAGCCCAGCCAGCATTTATGTTTAGTTTCTGAAATTCAGGTCTGACTGCTTAAAATCCTAAGTATTGTGCAGTTATTTGTATCATAGAAGTAACAGGTACAGAACTCAGTAATTTTTTGAAGTGGAAATGTACTTTACTGGATTAAGAAAATCTTTGTTTTCATTTGCTTTTAGAACATCTTTTCTGAATTTATAACTATTGAAATGTTGTTCCACGGGAAAGCTTTAGAGATCTATACTGCTGCCTACCAAAATATCCAAAATATTGATGAAAATGAAGATTTGGAGGTAAGAATGATGAAGATTTGCTTTTCAGTATACTTCCTGCCTAAAAACAGTTTTCACACTTGGGCTATACATGTCCCAGGCAGAAAAATGCAACATGTTTCAGGTTCCGAGAACAAACTTCTTTTGTACATCAAGCCTTTTTTTGCACTTCTCCAACAAGAGCATGCAGGTTTATAATCTCAGAGAACACAAACAAACAGAACTGCAGTGGCAATCTAACTGTTCCCACAAAACACAGGTGAGAGATTTTTCCAAAATTACCTGCGACTCCAAGCTCAGCTATTCACAGAACTTCATTTAAACTATGCCACGGCAATCTTGTACTATTCTGGTTTCACAATTAAAATGTCATGTGACACTAATTCAGAAAAATCCTTTAAGTCAATACTTTGTCTTTTGCAACCAAATTTCTAATCTCATTTTAAATTTTCTGTTAATTGGACAGTTATTTACTTTCCATAAAAATACTGACTGTAATTTGCTATCTCCTTGACTTTAATAAAGTCTTGCATGAATAGCTTTATGGGTTATTGGAAACAACTTGCAAAAATGATGGATTTACAGTCTTCCCTGTATTCTAAGAGGTTTCCCAAACTTTTCTCAAGCTGTGCATCTCCTGCACATTTCAAGTAAAATTTTTTTGATGCAGCTGTGACTGTCAGCAAGGATTTGCTTGTGAAGGGGCTAAAAGCTCATCTTTCTGAGAAATGGCGAACCTGAAGGTAGTTGCTGGGGTTCATACCTCTAGGTTGGCCTGAAACTCAACTACATATCCTGGTGAGAAACCATTGCAGTTTTCTATGTGTAAATGCCTTCAAGTCTCTGAAGAATGTTTACTTTGACCACATAAGTATGTTGATGTGTCTCAGGTTGAGAAAGGATGTTGTTTCAGCTAAAAGTGATCAATCCAGATTACAGCAGATGCATACCTCTAGATCAGGTTTCATTGTCCACTGCTGCATTTCTGCTAGCTTCAGTCTAGGTGATTCTTAGCTTGCAAGCTATATCATGGTACCTGAGTCACAGCTTTCTCCACTTCAACAGGTTTTTCGGAGCTCACTTTATCCATCGGACTATCAGTCTCGCCTAGACATAGTTCGTGCAAATTCCAAGTCCCCCCTGCAAAGAACTGCCTCCTCAAAATCTTCACTGAGGACAGTACAGGTAAGACAGAAAAATGACATTACAATCACTGTATTAAAGCTCTATTTAGGATAGTATTTTAGCTAATGTACATGGATCCACTATCTTCACTTAGTTCAGGACAGCCAGAAAGGTAAAGAAAATTCCAAGGGTATAAATATCATATTAAGCTCTTACTAATGCAGCTTTATCATTTGAGAGAAAAAAAATGTGTGTTGCTTACTTTTGAAAAATGCCATTTCCAGAGATACTGTTTCTTCTATCAACAAACTGTGGCAACTTGCAGAGAAAAACATTTAAGAGCTTATTTGAAAAGGAAGTGACATTCTTTAAATAACACTTGCGTATTCTTAGTCTCAGTATCAGATTCTGGAGTGTGATTTCTCTGCCAGATCCTAACTCAGATTAGTGATATCTTGTAGCAGCAGAGCAAACCCATGACCAACAAACCTTTCCTTTTATACTCTGAAAATTCAGAGCAAGTGAGGAAAAGGAGGATGATAAAAATGAGTGAAACAAATGGAAACAGTGCCACTGGTTTTGGGCCAGCTACCTTGCAATAATCTTTGGCACTTGTTTGCATCAGTAAACTTGCAGATACTGCAAAATGGGTTAATTATTTTTTCTTTACTACAGCTGTAATCCTGTAACTATGATGATTCTTACCAGTGTTTCAGTTAAGACAAAGATAGCCACATTTAAAATGTACATGTTTTATTTTTCTTCTTTGGATAGAATCATGCATTGATATTGTAATAAGGAAAAGTTTTTTTGACTTCATACACACTTTACACCTTCTCAATACAGAAAGGATCAATTATTACAGTTGAGCTATTCTGTTGAAAGTGAGTTGAGTCATCTGAAAAGATAAAAGAACCCAGTGATTCAGTGCATGAAATACAGCCTGAACTCTGAGTAACCCACCAGTCTTCTCTATCAAACAAGCAAATTTCATGTTCAAGCTACTTCAAAAAATGTGAGAGAGAGAAAACCCAAAGCAACAGGAAATGAGTGTATGTACACTGTGATTACTCCCAGAGATGGAGCTGAACTCCATTCTGACTAACTTGCAAGTTTACCTAGACCTCTCTTGTTATAACTTCAGGTGTAATGTTCTTGTAACATCTCATTGGAATATCTGAAAAGAACAGGAAGTCATCGAGACTTAAAGGAAAACTGCAATACATTTCAAAATAATGTTACCTTACTTGGCTGTGCAGTGTATCTGCAGAGGATCATATGGCAGAAAAAAAGGAGTGGAACACCCCACTAATGCAGTTACTACATTTTTCTGAACTAGGGCAGTCAAGAAGGGGCAGGCAGCCTGTTCCACACACTCCCCATGTTGCCCTTTCTGATTCTGCAAATAGCGTGTTGTTGAATTACACTAAGGGCCCTACTCTCTGGAACCCACCAAACATCTCATGAGAGAAAAAAAAAAGCCATATGCAGAAAAACCTTCAAGTGACTTGTTTTATCTTTTCTGGGGAGCTTTCACTCCCAAATTTTTCACAAGTCTAGTTTCCTGCTACACAGTTATCCCTTACTAACTGTAAGGCAGCACTTTACAATTTCCAGTGCAAAGCAACATAAACAATATGGTAAGCAGTTCACAGAATCACTCAGCCTAGGGTTGTGGGGCGGGGGAGGACAGACACATACATGCCAGCACTAACCTGTAGGTGGGGGAAGTCACTGCACACCAGATGGGATAAACTCTGACAGTAACACAGTTCAGGTCTTTCAGAAGATTTAAGGCATACCATCCTTGAATTTATTTCTGGTTCTGTGGACTAACTTTCTTATTTGTATATTAAAAATCTAAATTAGTCCTTAAGCTTGATACATTGTTTCATAAAGAGCTACCTCCTTCATTTTGCACTTTACTTGGCAATTTAGCCTATCATTTTCTTTTAATGATTCAAGTTGGTATATGCTGTATTTTTAGAACTATCGCAGAAGAAAATGACATTCTAGATATTTTAAGTCAAACTTAACTACGTAAGGTTTATCTACATGCACTTAATATAACAAACTGCTTTGCACTGACTCTCTAGTACAGCAAAGTATCATTCTAAAAGTTATTGAAAATGGCTGCATCTGAATGCCCCAACACTGCCCACTGCCCAAGACATGAGGAAAAGATTGCCATGCAGTGAAACATGGAGCTGAACAGCTTAAACAAGAACAGTCATCACACCTACATGCAAACTCATAGAATTAATCTTCACATAAAATTATTTATGAGCAACAAACTATCAGATTTCTTTTTTTATTATTATTATTTTAAATTTTTTTGGCATGAAGTAATCAAAAATTAAATTTTCTAGAATGTTCTAGTTCTGTGGCACAATAACATGGATTTAAACTGCCTAATTTCCTTGCAACCATCAGTGATAATATTTAATGTACTATTTAATTAATTACAGCATGGTCAGAGGTATTTTGTCTGAACACAAAAAGGCCATAAAGCTAAAACCAACATCCTTTATTTCAGGAAACAGGAAGGGGGAGCTTTTCTTCAGAAATATGATGCAAGTTCTGTTTAAGAATTTCAGATACTCTTAATGAGGGAAAAAACCAGGAAAATTAGTCTATCCCATTGAAATGACACTACCTTAACAAGGTCAATCTGCAGCATTCCTTTATCTCCAATTACAAATCAGGGTCATTGTCTTTTTTTTCTTTCACAGAATGAGATTGCTGGTTTAGGCATTTCAGCTCAAGTTAACCCTGCTTCACCCAATGATTAAGTGCATTTTCTGTTATGTTCAGGAATTTGTAAGCAAGCATTTGCTTGAAGCTAAATCATGCTTTGTGAGCATTAACAAGACTAAAGATTTTTCTGCTTTCATTAGTTCAATAATTGCAGTTTGCTTTATGCACACACAAAAATCTTGTGTTACAGACGTGGCTCTATGAATTATAACATCTCAGAAGTCAATTTAATAATGAGCATTTAAGCACTTTTATAATAGGAGGCTATTTTAAAAAAAGGCAAGTTTTGTCTTCAATACAGAAGTTTTATCACTGTATGTGAGAAAACACAGAAAATATAACCAAAATTAGAGTTGCAGATGCTCTTAGAGAACTGCTGAACCTCTCAAAAGCATTCAAGATGACTTGGATAACTATCTTTAATGTTCCCTTTCTCACGGGGAAAGAAAAAGAACATCATATATCCTACATTAAATTGTAAATGTTGCATTGTCTGTGAAGAATCTATCTTCAACAGGCATTAGACTGAACCCTCGTTAGGAAAAAGTACAGACTGCAGAGTCTGCCAGATGAGATGAAAGCTTGGCAGCTGGCACTTGTTTTTAATGTTTGATGAACCAAAGAAAGGAGACTAATGTCATTCTGAAGGGCAAGCACTGACGGGCAGGGAAAGAAGTTCATCTGTGAATGAAGACTTTTGATAAAGTTTGCCTACTTCATTCTCAAAAAAAGCAAACCTAGAGCAGCATAGTTTTGAACTGACATCTTCAAGACAAGATTAGGCTCTAATACTCATCTTCAGCCTGCTGTCTCAACAGCCAACCCAAGAACAAGCATCTTATTGATTTTTAGTATTAAAGGGATCAAAGTATAGTTTTCCCAATCCTATAATAGTCGTCATGACTATGGGGATTTTTTTTTAGCTTTTAAAAATCATTACAGTATTTTTATTCTGTGCCATGTATCTTTCCATTGGCTTGCATGTTATGAAGGGTTAAGGGACAAACAACTTACGCTCTGCCCCAAACAAAAAACTATAAATATTTAGACTGGAAATGCCAACAGATAATTGTTTTTCTTTGAGCAGAAAAAAACACTTGATTTACTTCTGTTGGATTTTTGTTTTGGCAGATTTCCCGCAGTATGCTAAGAAAAGATGAAGAGGAGGAGGAAGATGAGGATGAGGAAGAGGATGATGAGGAGGAGGAATTTGATGCTACTAAGGAAGTGAGATAACAAAGCTATTCTAAGAGGGGGTTTTTTATTAAGGGGGAAAAAATCCCTTTACTTAAAAGCTTTTGTGTGTTAAAATTTCACTGAGGCTGTATATTTAAAATTCTAACAGGAACAAGAATCAGCACTAATTCTACAGTGCCAGACAACAAATGACCAGTTTCAAAGAATGGAACAAAGTCTGCTGAAAATGGACAATATCAGTAGTTAGAAAATGAAATATTTAAATAGAATCCTGTATTATATTTGCATAAATGTTGTATTGCAGTCACATATTTGCTTAAACTTACATACACAGTGTCCAAAAACTGCACTAAGCTGACTAGCAATTATGAACATAAGGGTTTGCTGGTTACTTTGCCAATATATTACCTTGTTCTTTAGCTAAACACCTGTTCCATTTAGTAAGTCCTCTAGCTGTACCTGTCATAATTGGGTTTATACATCCTAAATTAACTGTAGTAATCAAGAAACGGTTTGCAGCAACAGCATGTTAAGATTTCACTGTTACCCACCTTGGATGGCAGAAGGCAGGGTGAGGTGTATTGTTTTCTCATTTTCATTTTCCTCAGGCTTTCCTCAGGCTAAGATGACTTGATTCCTTTACACATACAGAATGAATGCTCACAAATAAGGACCAAGCCCAGTGTCTACGTTTAATGCTGCTTTGCTTTTAAATAAAAGTGCCTTCATTATAAAATTAGTGGATATTTTATGTAGTTGGTGTTTATTACATTAGCTGACATGGTATATATCGTTCAAATTTCATGTGTTTAACTACATGATTCAGTTCCATCAAACACACAAGAAATTACACATTTTGAGTGTAATTTCTTATTCTGTTTGGAGATGGTGATACACATGTTCATTTTTTAACAGTGTACAGCTGTCTGCCAGAAAGCTGCTACTACACTGTTCATCCCCAGCTTTAGTTAAAGAACAAACGCATGTATAAATATAGACTTTGAACTTGTTGCTGGGAAAAAAATTTTAAATTACAGAAATAAACCAAAAAGTACATTTATAGCATTGATGCTGCCTCCACTGATGCCAAATATGCAATGCATACCTATTCTGATGTGAAAGAACCAGGTTTTGCCAAAAACTAATGTGATGAAAACATCACAATAAAGGGCTCTGTTTTAAACCCAAAAAATAATTTTACACCAGAATTACTTACTATTGACAAGGAGTAAATACGAATGAGTACAACTTTAAAAGTATCTAGGTAACTGATTCCCATCTATTTCAGCAACTAAGGTACTTTAATAAATATTTGTATCACAACATCAGAATTATGGTGTTCACCACTTTACCATTTCATACTCCAAAACAGATGGCAACCTTCATAACAATACCATGTTTTCATACCATATACATATGTGCAAATAGTGATTATTTGTGTACTATGCCTTGAAAGGAATGCTGAAAAAAGGCAGCCATGTTTAATTAATTCCTCCCTAAAACATTAGCAGCTAGGGTAAGAATGAGGGGTTTGTTTTCCTGAGCAGCTTCAAATTCCTTCTCACTGCCTCACAAAAAAAGTCAACTTCGGGAATTACAAAGTTCCAGAACAGGAGAAATAGAGTGTTGGGCAACTTTGTCCTGCATGTACGATGTCTTAAGTTTGCACGTTGCACAGCAGTTGTGTGACCTTGAAACTACAGATGAAAAGTCCCTGATTAAAATACTTTAGAGCCAGAATAATTTAGAACATAATTACAGAATTAAAAGATACTTCTGCAAAGATTTTTCTCGTGGCAGAAGTGCTTGCTGCAAGACTGAAATTACTCGCTCACATATATTTTTGACTACTGACACCTAGACAATTTAGGCTTGTATTCATTCTTGCTAAGACTATTTTGCCACTGTTGAAAATGCTGGCACATCCCTTTTGGGATTAAGGGTTATCTTCTACTAAACAGACTGTGCTGCTACAGCTTCCGTGAACGCCTCAAGCTGCTTCAGTAGGTGATCACTATTTCTAGTTCTTGACAATAGAGGCTGTTCTCCTTTACATCAGAATTTTTGGGCAATGATAGCAAAAGCAACTTCAGAGAAGGCATAACTAAGGAAACTTAACTGTGTTTTATACAACATCACAAACTGCAGGATTTCATTTGTTATTCTTTTACTATGTGGATGGTACTTAAAAAGGAAGAAGAGTATTTCAAGTCACGTAATTATAAGATGGCTTCTGATTGATTTGTCCATTGTACCAAAAGTACAGTGCCTTTAAGCCGTTAAACATCTCAAGTTATATAACCCTATTATCAGGAAATGCTGCCACCACACCATGCACCTGTACCACCTATTCAGGCAGAATCAGAATATAATGTCTATATCAGATCCCAGGGGGGAGAAGGGAGACAGAGGACAGACACACACAGAACAAAAACACCAATCAGATAACAGCTATAAACTAAGAATCAACTATCCTAGTAAACTTATTATTTCACTGGTATACTGGCATTCCTTCTCAGTTTCCCTATGCTTCAAGTTCATCTGTACATACTTTGAACACAGCTTTTGTATTTATAGACCTTGAAAATATAATTATTTCTTTGGCCTGTCAATCAAACATTTCAGATAAACTAAAATAGTCATAAACTCTAAGCTGGTTTTAAATTCAATACAAATTAAATTAATTAAATACTAATTAGCTATAGGGCAAACAGAAAACCATTGTGAAATGCCTCAATCATGACCTCTGCCATTACAGGCTTTATGATTCTTTTTATATGTTCACTTAGGGGGGAGGGAAGTTTACCATCCCAAAAATTAATGGTATTTTATCAGTAATTACACTTAAGTTTTTTGACAACTTATTGTTGTTATTTCTAAAAGAAATTCTCACATTTTACTGGCAAAAAAACCTACTTAACTCCCCTGTCTTTCCAGCCTCCAAGTTTGAAATCTCCTGTTGTGTAGTAGCCAGAAGAACTTCAAAAACCAGCAAATGATCTAAAGCTGACTAACTGGAGAAGTTAGTTGCATTCACTTTGACAACACAGCTTAGCAGTAAAGATATTGGCTTACAAAAATAATCACAATTAAGTTTTCAACATAATGATAACGTCAGGGAAGTTTATTTTGAGGATTCTCATATCTTTACCTGCAAAGTCTTCTGGCTCCTTGATCCTTTCATAGAAACTATGAAATAAAAGCACAACTTCGTGGGTTTCATTTTTCAGAGGATTCAAAACCATACAATTCTGAAGCTAATTCCTACCAGACAGCAAAAAAATGTAAAGTGTTCAGAACTTAAACCTTAGCCACATATTTTTCTTTGCTACATACACAGACCTTGCATTTTCATTCCAAATGCTTTTTTCTGGGCACTTAAAATAGAGAACAAATAATATGCAGAAGATACGAAGCTACACTAACCTTTTAAAAATTACAGAACAAAAATTTCTCGATATTGTTTGCTTGTACTTAACAGTTTATGTGAAAGTTTAGCAATTATGATGATGACTTTACATAAATAAAGCAATTAATATTTAACCCACCAGTGAGCCATCACAGGTTGCCCACAGAGCTCTGTCCTTAGAGCTAATAAATATTGAAGGCCTTGAGTAACCTTACCTAGATGATACTGCTTTGAGGAAGGGGTTGGAGTAGAGACCTCCCTACTCCATGAATTTATGATTTATTCGTATTGCCCAGGCAAAGGTTAGAAGTTTTAACTGCCCAGTTGCAACTTTGCTGTCCTAGTCTGAGAGGGGACTAAAATTCATGGAATCCTTTAGTACTCTAAACACTATCTTGCACAGTTGCAGTGTGAACAAAAGTCCTTACCCACACAACCAAAGTTTCCTACTAAGCTTGAATTTTGAACATGCAGCTTTTCCAGGCTAGCTTTTATTTCCTCCTAAAATTTAAATATGGTGGTACCAAACCAATCAAATCAACATGTTCTAAATGCTAACATGAGTATTTATTTTATTACATAAGAAAATAAGATAGCTGGTTGTCAGCTTGGTTACCAGTGACAGATGTTAGTTAAAACTAATCAGAGATTGACCTGGAATGTATCCAAACATCATTAGCAAGCTAGAATTCATATTATGCAGAATGTGAAGATAAAAATGAAGACCACTGAAATCAGAATTCTTGATCTGAATTCAACATTCATTTTCTGCCTCAAGGTACTACAGTGAGCGAGAAGAACACCTGTCCAACTGATTAATACAGACTGTAATTAATTAATACAGACTCTGCAAACTAACTACCTGTTCTTCACTGTGTTGGCAAACTGTAACAGTTCACTCTTCCCAGAGGAAGCAGCCAGCATCATTCTCACCAAGACCCTCATCTGCTGAGTGTAATAGTTGAGACCATTAACTATTCAAATTTTAAATAGAAGACACACATTTAAATGGCAATTTCCTTTTTATTTAAAAAAGAGTTGCAAAGCCAGCTAACGTGAACAGGAAGCTCTTATTTCTTTTTTTAACAGGAATGCCTGCAAACACATGAAACTGAATAAAACCTGAAGTTTTCACAAAAGCAAAAGAAAACCCAAAATATAAAAATCAGTCATCTTTTAAATTTTAAACTAACCTCCATAAGAAGTGTTATTTACTAATGCAGGTAGCACTGAAAATCGTCTATTTGAACCGTTGGCGTGGTCAGTCAACCAGCATTTACATTTTTATTTGATGCAAAGACACAGGACATGGAATTAAAACAAACTTAAAAAAAAACCCCAAAGCATTATAACTCCATCCCTTTAGACCTTGATGAATGACTTTCCATGTCCTACAGACATTTCAACCAAGAGCTAAACAACTGAACTGGGTATTATTTACAACCGTTGATGGAAACTGTTTTCTTTTGGATGTTCCAGTAATTAAAAAAGGTAAAATAACTGTCAATACTGGCAAACTTAAAATGTTTTACTACAGAGCATCTTTTCCTCCTTTACAGCAAGCTCAACTTAACTTTCCGTGGACCGATCGGCCTATCATTCAGTTCATTAATAGCAGCCATAGCTTCCTCATAGTTTGTCATAGCAACAATGGCATCACCAGAAGGTAATCCTTGTTCATTGTACTGCACAGAAACTGACTCCGGAATCACTCTGTAGCCATAGAAAAAATCCAGAATCTCATTAGGAGTAGCTTTAAAGGGTAGATTTTTCAATAGAATAGGAACAACACGCTCAGAACCGCCACTGAAATTGGGATCCGGCATAAATCTTCCTTCAGGAAAATTTCCCATTTTATTATTCCCAAACTCCATTCTGCCAAAAGGTTCGCTGTCGCCACCGAAATCCATGAGGGGTGGTGGACCCCTAAAATCCTTAGGAGGGCACATGAAGTCCTCAGGGGGGTGTCTAAATTCAGAATGATGCCTAAAGTTCCCAGGGGGACCAAATGAATGCATGGGTGGCCCTTGTGGTGGCCCAGATGGTGAACCAACTGGACGGGAAAGCTCACCTCTGTCATACGGATGTGAATGACCATGCACTTCATTCGGTGCAGACAATGGTATGGATACACCAAACTTCTGCATCTGCTCTTCAGATATAAGTCTTATTAATACTTCTGTTCCCAAAAATGTTTGACGATTTAAATTTTCTGCTTTCATGGCTTGTTCCTCAGATTTAAACTTCACTAGTGCTTCTCCCAGTCCAAGTCCTTTTTCATCATAGAGCAAATAAATATCATCTTCATCAATATCAAATCTTGAAAA